CGTGTCTGTTTTCCCAGGTAAGTCCTTTAAGTGTGGGACGTGTTGTGCCAGTCACCCAGCACCGTGAGCAGTGTGGCTGCTGCTAAGGTAGGAGTCAGCACCCTGCAACACCAGCTTGTCTACCCACCCAGCACACTCCTGAGGACTCTGCCAGTCCAAACCTTGCCTGGCAGGTAGCAATCAGTGAACCGCAATTCCCGAGTTCCCAGAGATGGCTCTTTGCAGCCGCCAGGTCCTCTCACTGGACACTCACAGAAAAGTTATTGCGTTTGCTGGCTCCAAAGAGACAGAACACACACCAGCCTGTTAGTTTAGCTGAGGACTTCACCTCTCAGTTTAATACACAGCCCTGTGCTGGTTTTGTAATAAAACCAGAGTAGCTTTGTTAACAAAGAACAGATATGTAGGTGATATAAGGAAGAACAGAAGATGCAGAGATGGTTACAAGTAAAACAAAAACAAAACAAAACACTTTCTAGTGACAAACTTAATTCAGCAAGTTACAATCTTTGTCTAAGCAGGTTTCTCACCTATAGTCAGTTCCCAGAGACATCAACCCCCTTGGGTGAAGGAATCACCTTTGTCCGATTACCAGAACTCTGGTCTCTTGTGTCCCATGAGTGATGGATGCCAAAATGCCTTTCTGCTTATATTTCCCAAAGTCTATAGTCTCTGTTTCAAGTGGTAGGAAGGTGTCCCAGGGGTGCAGGCTCCATCCACACTCATGATTGTTAAGATGTCTCCACCCTCTGACCCTCCAGTCCCTCATTAAGCTTGATGGTGCATTGTTTACCTTATTTGTAGATGTACCCTCCATTGTCCTCTGAGGTGTCACCTACCTTAGTTCAGATTGGAGACACAAACAATATTCCTTTGTCTGGGACAGGCTGGGCTTATGCACAGCATAGCACTCTAGATCTGTTGCTTCACAGGTGAGAGGAGACGCCAAGCTGGTCAAAATGGCTGTAGCAGACACTCCCCACTAGCCACAGGTCTCTTCTCGGGGGGTGGGGGGGGTGGGATGGGTGTAGTGTTTAAGTTAATAAAATGGAAGCTCATTTACTTCGAGTAGATCTTTTCAGCAAGTGTGCCCGGCTGAAAGGGGGAGATCTGAGGTACATCTAGAAAATAAGGGAATTTTAGCATCAGCAACATCTGGAACGGAGGATTTGTTCATCTGCTTTTCATTCTTCTACCTGAAGGTATGCAATTAAAAAGCTCAGTCACAGGCCCTAGACCTCTGAGAGCGCCAACATTCGGTGCAGTAAAGAAGAGCAGAAACACTGACATTATGCCACCATTAGGTTTCAGAATTAACAGCTGATTGCAATCAATGTGGCAGCTCACCTGTGAGCTTTTCTTTCAGGCTGCCGTCTCACACTGCTGCGTCAGTTTATACTTTGGCTCATGTTTTCAAAGGTTCTCTACAACCATAAAGGCTGGAAATAGGAAGGGTTTTCTATTTTAAATGAAAGTTTAGATTCTAGAATATGGGTTGGTGAGAAGGAACAGCAGGTGCAGAATAATAGTGGGCCCTGCTTATAGGAATGAAATGTGATATAGGTAGGCTAGACTGGCCTACCTAGGTGGCATGTTCAGCGCTTCTCCAATTAGAAAGGAAAACTCCTTTGTGTTTGGTTTTGTTTTGGGGTTGTTGTTCTGGTTTTGAAAAAGGAATTTTGTGGCTAATGCATCTAATTCAGAAAGTACTGACCTTGCATTTCACACAACCACACTACTTCCCGCTAACAAATACAGCCCTAGATTTCTAGAACTCGACACTTTTCTGGTGGAATTTGAGTTCCTTCTTTGGTGCACCAGAATGAACTCAACATGTAATTTCTGCACTATACTAACCTAAGTCTCCAGTGGAGTAGGTAAGTGTGACAGTCTGTACCCTTATGTTCACCATTTTTTGCAAGACGATGATCATTTTTGTACAAAGTATGCTTTGCAAGGTATCGTTTGCAAGCTCATAATCTGCTGATCATCAAATAAAATATGGGTGGCAACACTGTATGTAAAGTTACAAGATTCTACTGCATAACATTCCTGAGACATGTTCCAAGTTGAGAAAAGCAGGCACAAGCCAGTTCCTCACAGACAAAAGACAAATTGATGCCTCAGCCAGTTGTCAACAAAATCATATGACCTCTTCTTCTTTGGCAGGAAGAAGGATGTGAGTGAGAAATCTACATTTTGATAAACAAACAGCCGGGGTTTCCTGTCTCCTCGGACCTTATTTCCTGAATCTCAGCTGAAGATGAATTCTTGCAAAAGAGAAATGGCTATAAGAGGAGAAGGCAAATGCCCCAAAGGTTTTCTTCCTCCTGTTCTCTCTGCTATACCTGAAGGACAAGGGAAGGAGCACTGGGCGGGAGGAGAAGTCCTGGCTGAAAGGTATCCAGCCAGTAAGACTTAAAAAGCATGTGATGAGAGAAAGCTTTGCTTTGAATTCATTTAGCCTAGTCAGTTAGGTATTAGTTGTGTTTTGCCTTTTATTTCTTTGTAACCAATTCTGACATTTATGTCTCATTACTTGTGATCACTTACGCTCTTTCCTTCTGCAGTCAATAAACGTGTTCTATCTAAACCAGCGTGTTTGGACTGAAGTGTTTGGGAAACTCCATTTGGGGTGACAGGATTTGTGCATAGCATTTTCTATTGATGAATGACGGACTTTATATGAGCTTGTATTGTCCAGGAGGTGCGCTGGGAAGTGCAAGACACATTTCTGGGGGAGAGTCTGGGACTGGGAGTTTGCTGGTGTTGCCCTGCAGTGTAATTCATGAGTGGCTGGCATAGCACTCATATAATATAACTGGGAGTGAGTTGCATGCTGGAGGCCGGGTGTGAGCAAACCAGGAGCGGTTGCTCTCACAGTGAAGCAGTTTAAAAGGCGCCCCAGGTTGGAGAATTGAGGGAACACAGCAGTTCAGGCTGTATCTGGGGAATGTCACAGTAAGGGAGAATTTTCATAAGCACAGTTGATGTGTGGGGCTGCAACCAGATTATCAGCCCAGCATTGGGCAACAGCTGGAGTTCTAGTGCATGTAGGTGTACAGGCATTAGGCAGTATCCCTTTAAATAATGGGGAGACCTCACATGGGCCTCCCTGTCTTCTCTAACAGAAATA